AATTAATGAAATACACCATTAAATAATTAATTAAATGTGTCAATAATTAATTAAATACATATTTATGACATTTAATTAATTATTGACACATTTAATGAATTATTTCATGATGTATTATTTATTTTGGCAGTCCTGACCTCTGACTGTTCATGAATTCATCTGTCAGCCTCACCCATCAAACTAAGTGGGCGGGGTTAACGCTGCCACTGCATCTTCTCTAACATCTGATTGGTTACTGTGCAAAGTTAGTCAAGTCGGGTCGATCCTAGATAATCGATCGCTGGTGTGGACTTGGGGCAGCCAGGTATCCCAGATTTCAAATCACAAGCAGCAATGGTGGTGGCGCTCTAAAATGTCACTTTGTCACCAACTACACTTTCAATAATGTTTTAGCTGTGAAAGTAGTGGCGTAAAGTCCACTCAGCTGGCCAACATAGAACATGTTTGCAAAAGTGCTCCGATGTTTTCGAGATGTTGCTAGCTAACATCCAGCTGACGGCGTGCAGCGAGCTCCCGCTGTTCCATCGTAACTGTTTTTCACGTTTACCAGTTAGATGTGTTCCACATGTTGCATCTACAGATTCTCATCTTCACCGAACGGTCGTCTCTTTCGCCTGCTCGCGTGTCCTTATGTTTCTGTAACATAAATAACGAGCCGACGTTTTCCTCACGACACCAGCTGACCCTCAGTTTACCTGCACACATCCTGCTCACCTGTCAGCTGATTAACACCTGCTGCTTATTCAGGAAACACTCACATTACCTGGTGATGGTCACAGGTTAACGTGGGCAGCCGGTGCTCCATATAACACAATGTCAGCACAAGACAAGTAAATTTGTTTGGTTCCATTATAGTTTAGGAGTCTCACAGATACACTGAGATAAATCAGCTATTACTGAAATACACGTGCTATATAATTAAATATGATATAAATGTGGAGTTTAGTTATAAAGGACACCTTTAGTCTCATTCATGAGCAGTATTAGTTTTATTCTAACATCCATGACCGAAACACCAACATGAAAAAACTACCTCACACAAATCACGTTACCTTCATTTATTTTTATTTTAGTAAACTTTGCTCATTCTAACAGACAGCTGGTGCTTAGAATACAGTTGAATAACTATTAAAAAACAGAGGATGTAATATTTCTGTGCAGGCTGAAGTCTTTCAGTATCTACGCTGGTTCAACGCTGCTCCTCTTGGTGGAAATGCGCCTTCTCTTTTCTCCTTGTATAAAAAAAGATTTTTAATGTTAGTTTTAACTTGAAATTCACAGTTTAAATCACACATATGCCAGATAAAGAAAAGCGAATGGTTCAGTCTGACGTGCTCCAGTGAGACATTTAACTTCAGTAAAACGATGCAGTTATGAAACATAACTTTAATCTGAGCCAAACCGATTTCCTGAGTTGTAAATAACACGGTGAAGTAAACATGACCCGACTGACAGAAGCTGAGTGAATTAAGTCCAGTGTTTAACCACTGAGAGCTAAAACTGAGCGAAGGTTTGCCAGTGACTGGATATCAGCCGCTGATAACGTGCTCTGTAGTTTTCTAGTGTCCATCGCTCTCTGTTTAAATCCCATTTGTCGTCTTTAGCCCAGGTCAGTCACTCTGACGGAAACACAAACTCCAGCAGCTCTGAGCTCAGGAAAAAAAACAAACGTACTTGTCTTGTGCCGACATTGTGTTATATCGAGCTGCAGCTGCCCACGTTAACCTGTGACCATCACCAGTTAACGTGGGCGTGTTTCCTGAATAAGCAGCAGGTGTTAAACAGCTGGATGTGTGCTAGAGCTCTGAAGACATTCCTGGATATGCTGACCTCGCTCCGTGCTGCACAGGCCTCCGAGGCAGCAAAGGGGGCTTCCAGTTTTCACTCATGATCAATATTCACAATAAAAACATTAGTCGAACAGCGTGAGGTCTGCACGTGTTTCACAGTGTCTAACAAGCTTTGTACAGTTAAACCTAATGGTTACTACGACGGAAACACCGACGTTATCTCTTTTAGTAAAGTGTGTGCGTTTATACACAGGTCACGCTGATTACTGAACAAAAAGCACAACGATCAGATGTTAACTTTTCTGCTCTCTCTACTTAAACTTTGTCTGTGTGGGTCCTGGTAATTTAATTAATTAATTAAATATGTCATAAATATGTATTTAATTAATTAATTCCAATTAATTATTGACACATTTAATTATTTAATGGTGTATTTAATTAATTCATTTTGGCAGTCCTGGTATTCCATACTGAATGACCCTGCTGAATACTTTAAGGCCTAGCTCACATGTACATGTTCCTTTTTTTAAACCAGCTGATTAGCTGCTTCTGTCTCGTGTTTAGTTAACCAAACTGCTGCAGGAGCTGAAGGAAGCTAAAGAAGCTTCAAGCTCGGAGGTGAAACTCCTGTGCACCTTGGAGAGGAAGATACTGAACATG